TATATATATATATATTCATATATTTTTTCATTTTATGTACACACTGTGACCTTTTTTTAAAGTGCCTGTAACATTTTTTTTTAAAGTAATATGACTAAAGTTTTGGAAAGAAAACATTTAGAACATATTGCAAAAATATTTTCACGCCACTGAAGATGAACAGTTGTTGAGATAATCTGGTGCACAGTAACAGGAAGTGATGTCAGAAAGAATTTATGTCGGTAACATGGAGTCATGTAACAGGAAATCATGAGAGCAACAGGAAGTGATGTCAAAGGGGAACAGAGAATTGCTACAGTAGCTAACGACAAAGACAACAGAGTTCAAATGTTTCAATAAACAAAACAAAACAAAAAAACAGTAAGTTTATCTTTTAAAAGAGTTCCATTGTGATGTCACTTCCTGTTTCAATTTGGCTGCACCGGGTCAAAAAAATGTGAGAAAATGGGGCCAAATTTCAGGGTGTTTTCTTGCACTTCTTCTATTTGTAGCATGTGCACGTCACAGGCACTTTAGGACCTCACACTCAGTGTTTCATGGCCTACACTGGGGCCACGACCCCACCTTTGGAAACTACAGTGCCCCGAGCTGCAGTTGATGCAGATGAAGTTAAAACAAAAGCTAAATATGAGAGAATAAACATTTAGTTGTCATTAAAGTAGTGAGTATTTAGCTGAATTATTGTGCGAATTGATGAAATATGAAGATGTTTGAAACGTTCGGTGCTCAGGTTGAACTTTGAGTTCAAATGTCAAAATGAAACTAAACTTTAATACACGGGTCAGAACAAAAAACTAGTCTTTCAGAAGAAACCCTCCCGAGTTCAAATTAAAGGTCTGAAAAGGACCCGGACTTTCCAAGGTTCCATCAGGACCCGTCCACTCTGCAGGTTGAACCTTCAGTTCAGACACTTCATGCCTTGCTCAAGGGTTCTCCGTATACAGATGCTTCTGCTGGGATGTTCTTGGTTGACTGGATTAAAAAAACTCTATCTGGACTTAGAATCATGTGAAGTTTGTAAAGAGTGTAGCTTGTTCTTCAGAACCTGCTTCACTTTGTGCTTTTCAGAGCGTGGAGTTGGAAACAGCAACGTTTTGAGTGAAATTCACATTTAGAATATTCAGGCTTTGATTTGTGGATAAAACGTGAGAAAACAACACATGGAGAACTGAGGAGCTCAGAGGTACCAGAGATGGACTCAGGGACTGACTCAGAGATGGACTCAGTGAGAGATTCAATGACTGACTCAGTGACTGATTCAGTGACAGACTCAGTGACTGACTCAGAGACGGACTCAG